TCAGCTGGAGTATGAATAAAGAGACAGTGGACTGCAGGAGTGACAGAATTCCTTTTGCATTTCTGGCATTGTCCTGGGAATAGCAGTACATGTATCCTCCTCTTGTTGGAAGGATTGTGAATGTGTGTTGTAGCACCATCTATTCAGCTGTGGCTTTGAAATTAAACTTTATGATTCTGCTTGAGTTTTGGTTTCTTTTGGAGGGGTTTGGAGATTTTGTGATTTTAAATCTTTAGCCTGCATGGATTTTGTTCATACACTGGATTAAATAATGCATTGCTTACAGCAGTAGTATTTTAAGCATATCCATCTTATTTAGCCTGTGCCAACAGCATGATTTATATTGATGGTATTTTTGGTGCAGATAAAGAGGGTTGTGCTAGTGCTGAATAGTTCCTCAAAGAATCAGCTATTTTTGTTTTCAGTATATCACCTTTTCAACCAAATGAAGTCCATTTATTTGTGTTGTTGCTTTATCAAAAATATAGCAATGGTGACGCTTCTCTTATTTTTTTAAATACTTATTTAATGATGAAAGTGGTGGAGCTGTAATGTGTCCTGATTCAGAATGATCATACAAAGGCTTGGCACAGTCCACCTACACTGGCATGGCTATTTTATATGATAAAAGTTCACTGTACAGTTAAGTCTGTGCTTGTAAAATTCATGTTTTATGAAGGCATTTGTGAATTAGCTGGAGGATACCCAGGTGCACTGGTTTTCTTTTTTTTATTCTGGGTTGTTTTGGGGTTTTTTTCCTTTTTTTTTTTTCTTGCTTAAGGGAAACATTTATTCAATACCATACATAGTTCAAAATTGGATATGTTTTTTAAGGGCTATAGGTTATTTAGGTTATTGCAGATTGAACACTGAGGTTAAAGAGAAGTCAGCACAACAGACAAAATCATAACCAATGTGTGATTATGTACGTATATAAATATATGAACTGTTTATTTAAAGGTGCTGTCCAATTAAGCAAAATTCTTTCTGTGCTTAAAATAACTTAAACCCTACAGAAACCTTTCAGTAGCATAGAAGTTAATAACAAGTCAATAAAATATGTTGTAGTCAAATAATTTTTGTTGAATTCAGTGACCTAATGAAGAATGCTATCTACTTATTACAAAAAACTTAATTTATATTGGAACATTACTTCCTTGCTTCCAATGTCATTTCCCCTCCTCCTTATTTAACTTAATTTTTGCTAAAATATTTGATGAGGCTTTTTTTTTCTTAAAAAAAATGAAATTTTTTGTCCAAAAAACACATAGAAAAAAATTAAAGTAACTAAAAAAAATTAATCACCCCTTACTAATACAAATAATAATTTATTGCTTGATGTGCTTCATGATGTAGAGTAGAAAAACTGGATAAACTCTAAGAAGTAGAAAATGTCCAAAGGGACGAATATTTGGTGTCAAAGTTGAATAAAAACCTCATGGGAGTTGTCATGCCTTGTAGCATTTGTTGAGCAGGGGGACGGAAGCCATATGTGTGTGTAACATTATATACAAACTATCTGCTGAAGAGTTGCCAGTGGCCTATGCATAAAGGAAACTGTGCTTGAAAATGCAGTTATATCAGTGTCAACACTAGTTACATATTCTTTTTCAGCTTTTAAATTATATCTTCTTGTTGTGTAGGAAACTTAAAAATTAATTCCTGGCAGACAGATAATTTTTCTTGAAACATAATAAAGACAGCAGATTTTCCTTTAAATGCCACATTGAAGTCTGTGCCCCATGCTGTTCACCAGCCCTATTATGGTTTTATTTTCTGTTGAAGAAAAAGGACAAAAAAAGATCAGAAAATAGAAAAATGCAGAGGTGAAGGTCAGTTTTTCTGCTTGCATAGGCTTTTTATGCTTGTGCTTTGAACCTTTGTGAGGAGGACAGAGGCACGCAAATCCAGATGTTGTTTGAAGAGCTACCTCAAAGGAGGTTGGTCAGAGGAAATGACACAGTGTCAGGGCAAACCTGTGATTGTGGCTTTTCATGACCTTATACAGTTTGATATCCAACAGCTTGACAGCTGTATCCCATTTCAAGTGGTAATGGTGCACTGAGATGTCTGTCTTCCTCTGCGTTTCATTTTGGGGTGCTGGTTCTTGATACCTGAATTTGTTGGCAGACCTTGCTGCAGTTAAAAATTTGTCATAGATTTGGATTTGTTTTTTTTCAATACTGCTTACCCAGAGTGATCCTCATTTAAATTGCACAGCATTATACATGAAGCTTTTTTTTAATAGCAGTAATATTCTTAATTTTCATTGTATTTCAACAGTCAAACAAAATATTAGAAAGTGAATTTTAGATTAATGCAAATACTCAAATTTTTTCAATTTCAATCTTTTCCGTTTAGGTTGCTTTCAAATCTCTGTGGAGAAGCTTTAGTAAAACAAAATAGTGTTGTAGAGACTAGGAATTCAGATTTGAATTGCACACAGCAAAAATTCTAATTATTGTGGATTTGGCTTCCTTGGTGATGATCATTTTAGGATGTAAATGCTTCTAGTCTTACTTTTCCTTGTGCAACTACCCATTACATTCTTCTTGTTCAAGTTTACTTTTATTTTCAGAAATCAAGTGACATTTTAAAGACCTTTAGGTTACAGCTTCTATTACCATGTTACTTGATCTCCTGCATTAGTAGTTGTGTCAAGGGCTGCAGCCAGGACATGAAACACAGAAAGAAACTGCTGTGCCTTTTGCAGCTGCTCAAAGGAGAGGCCAAATAAAAAGTTACACTATCAAAAACTTGTAAATGCAAAAAATATCATGTTCCAAAGTAGCCATTAATAATAACTGTTCAAGTAAAACATGTAGGATTTGGTCCTCATGCCAATTACTTTAGACTCGTGAAGTCTGCTGTGTGTATGAGAGGGGAAAGCATTTCCAACCTGCTCCATAGGTTACTTCAGGTGAATGTGACTTTGAGGCATGCCTGAAATGCATCTACTCCTAGGTGGATGAAGGCTATCATAAAGTTTATCCATCTGGCAACTTTCCTTTCAGAAATAATCCTGCATTGATGAACTTCTAGGGGTGGGGAGTGTTAAAGGGTTTTTTATGGTGATCTGTTGTTTTGTTTTCTTCAGTTGCTACGTTTCTTAAACTACTTTTAAAAAAAACCTGTGCTATAATTGTTCATATACTTATTAAGAAAATAGATTTTCAAAAATATTTGGCTACAGAAAGTGCTCCATAAGCCTTTATCTTATAGGATGAAGCAATGCTTCTCAAGATGTTTATGAACAAGAATGAAGCAAATAAGATCTCAATTTTCTGATAGTACAAGGTGCAAAATCAAACCAGTTCATCTTGTATTTTGGAACAGATGTGGAATTTACAATAACAGATTGCTTCTAATAAATTTACTTCCTCTGCATTAATCTGTTTAGTAATATTTAACTTTGCTTTTCATTATTATGCTATCTAGATTTTTCTAACCTGCCTTATTTCTATAGCAGATTGGTTAAGGTTATCTCTCAAAGAAGCTTCCACTTAGAAACATCCAGTGTCTTTGACTGAACTGAACCATGAAAATTATAATCTAAATGTTTAGAAACATTTTTGAGTATGTGTGCATAGATGTGTAAACATGTATGTAACAGAGCAGTCTTATAATAGCAATCTGGCTAGATAATTTGTTTCAATTTGTTGTTTTGACAGTCATAACTGCATTACCTTTCTGATTATTTACACAGACATTTCATGTTGCATTCTTATCTCTTACAGTCCATGACTTCACCTTTACTTTATCTCATTTTTCATAGGATTAGTTAGGATTGCATTCCATAAAGCAAAAAGTGCATTATTTGCATTAATTCAGAAGTCCAGCCCAGAAGGATTTTAGTCATAAGCTTATCATTGTACTATTTAATCTATTAAATTTCATTCAAAAGGCTTAACAATAACCAGGGTGGGTGTTTTTTGTTTTTTTTCATCTTTGGTTTCCTTATTTTGAAAGTGAAGGGTGAAATTGTACGGAGATAATCAGTATAATCTCAGAAAACGCACATGATCCTCTGCAGAGGTTTTGTTTCTTTATGCTGGGGTGAGCAGAACCGCCATGGCAGCAATAATAGTGAGCTCATGTGTGGCAGGGTTTCAGATTGCTGGTTTTACTCGGCTTGTGCAGTGTCCCTTGTACAAAGCCACTGGGTGGTGAGTTGGAGGTGACAAAATGTCTTGTTAAATTGGCCCTTTCAGATTTGACTGAGACCCTGTAGAGAGCATTTAGGTGTTGTTGTACCTGCCCTTATTTATGCCAGTGAAAGAAGGGTATGAAACACAGCATCTGCTGGTTTACATGCTGATGGAGCACTTGGCTGTTCTTACACATCTTATGAAGCCTTGATCTCTTTGTGGTTTTGGGGTTTTTATTCCTATCAGCTAATGAAGACACACTGAAAGGCAAATTATCTGGTGCAGTGCATGAGTATTGGATGTTATAAAAGAACCATAGTGTTATTTATGGAGCAGAGTAACTCCAGAGTGTTTAATTGCTGTCAACATGATAAAATTAAAAATCACAGTGTGGATTGCCAGATAAATATTGATCTATGCATTTTACTACCGTGATTATTTTTTTAACAAAGTGAAATTTGTGAACTGCAACTGACATCCAACTCTTAATTATGAAATATTGAACTAAAATATTTTATTTTGCTATTATTATTATTTGAATGAGTGCTTTCCTAATTATATGAAATATCTGTTTTCCTCAAGGTTTGCCTGACAGGAAACAGTAAAATGCTATTTTTTAGTTCTTAAGTAATGGTGGAGGGGTCATGTTTGTTTTAGTTTTGATTTTATTTTGTCATCTTTGAGAATTTCTCATTGTCTTCTATATTCAGAACTTTTCTTTTATGGAAAAGAAATGGGAAGAGGAGCTTCTCACTGTTGTTGCATATCTGTAACAACACCAGAATGAAATGACAGCAGAGGTGTTGACAACAAATTGTTTTAACCTTTATTTAAAAATATAATTAAGAAATGAGAAGATTGCCTTAAAATAAAATCATGGGGTAGAGTCTTATGCATGGCAAAATCTGCTTTTCATTACTACACACTTTCAGCACTCATTTACATTGTTATTTCCCTAAGTCCCTGCAACTGTTAAATTATGCAAATGAAGTTGCCATAATATTCAGTGCCAAAATGTTTTATTTAATAGCAGTCATTAATTTATTTCTCTAATTGAATCCACTAGGAAATCATTTTAAATGTATCATTTTGCTTTAAATAGGTCCCAGTTCAGCAGAAAGAAAACCTGTTGGGTCTTACAATCATGAGGGTTTTTTAGCACATGCATGACAATTCAGCAGTGATGCCTCCCTTTTTCCCTCCCATTTACCCAGTAATTTTGCGCAATGGGAAAATCAAACAACATGTTTAAATGTGACATGACCAGTTATTTTATAATGTGGAGAATAACTACTGTTGTTAATTCTCTTGCTCAAAGTGAAGCGTTGTAAGAAGGAGAAGAGTTGAAGCTGACCTGAGAGAACTAGGGTAGCCCCCCTGAGAGATGGTAGAGGCAATGCTAATGAGATTGAAAAAGGAAAAAAAGGAGAAATTCTTGTATAGCTCCAGGTCTCGTATTCACGTGATATTTAGAATAGAATACAATAATATCTTCAATGCAAATGCTGCAGTGAGGTAAGTTCGAGTGGTTTCTGGATCTCCCCAGGAAAGTGATATTTTTTGAAGTCTTAGCAAAAGGGAGGCAGGAGAATTTTCTGTTGCTTCATCCATCTGTGAAGTGTATTTCAAATGTGCTGTTTAGAGGAGGAAAATTTTAAGGAACATGATTTAGTTCACTGCAATCACAAGAAAAAACATTATGGAGTTAGAGATGCCCTAGGTTTTGGGAGGGCTGAGCATAATTTAAACGTTCTGTGATCTGAAAATACTATGTTGAGTAACATACGCAGAATTTCTTTTTGTCAGAGGAAAGTATTGCGTTTGAAATCCTGAATTTTAGGTATAAAATATAAAGATTTAGATGCACGTATCTATAAGCAAAACTTGGATGTGAACAGATATTCTTTCACTTAACTTTAAACCTTTTCACCCCCACCTTCATCCCAACACCCTTTTGGACCTGTGACAGGAAATCAAATTCAGTGCAGGACTCAAGATTGCAATCATCTCTTCTTCTGTATCTGACACCTTTTCTTACCTTGTTCTGTTGCAAGGAAGTTCTGGCAACTTGAAAATGCAAGTGAAATATTTTTGCAGGGACAGCTAAGGTTAACTTTGCACCATTTAAAAGCCACAGGAAGCAGAATATCATGTTGTCTTTGAGAACATGCAAATGAGATTCTTGTCTAATTGAAAAATAGGACAGTTATGGGTTAATTGCTGGAAAAGACCAATTATCCAAATACCTTCAGTAAAAGAAACAGCACAACCCCTCTGCTATCTTTCTTCAAAGAAATTATCATCTTTAATCTGTAGCACTTTCACCAGAACTACATGACTTATTAATCACCTTTGTGAACAACTGGTGAGATTGTTTCCCGCCCGCCTTATTTGCCATTTGAAACTAAATGGAGCAATAGTTCTGTTGTAAGTGCCTTGCCTATGAGTGTCCCTCCTGGTGACCAGTTGCAGATCCTTAAGCACATGGAGTGATGGGAAATAGTAGGTAGAGGGCCATCACCTCGTATTTTCCCATCTTCCATCTATGCAATTTGATCCAGCCCTAAACAGGTTGATTCCTTCCACATTCATTCTTTCTTCTCTGCTTTACCTCTAGAAGTGTTGCTGTAGGTAGCAGAGGAATTAAATGGTGGATAACCTGATCCCCCTTCATGTGTGGTGAAGGGCAAAACAAGGCTGCCCTGGACCCCTCATGCTGCTTCTTTCCCCCTTCCCAGCAGCTGGGCTTCAGCTAGACCTGGCACAGAGGAGGAGCATTCCTGGCTTTCATCTTAAAAGCAATCTGTAAACGTTCATAGACTTCTTTGAGTAATTATGTTTTTCATACAACCGTGACGTGAATGTCATGATGGAGTGTGTGCATCTTTTTGCCTGGTAAATGGTGTTTACCTCAGGTAACTTTTTCTCTTTATATGTAAAGTCTTAGGACTTAAAATATATTAGAACAATGAGTAGGTCTTTTGGACAAATCTGCTTATATTTTGTTGGTTTGAAAACTCAGAATTTAGTCATTCTGGATGCTTACTTTTATGCTCAGGACAAGTTATTAATTGTTAATTAATTATTTTGAAGTAAAAACCAAAATCTAAACAAGAATGGCACATAGAAAAAATATATTAACTTTATCTAAAGTAATGCAAATTAATCTTGACTAATTTCCCCATATGTTGTATTGTGGCAGAATTAAATATTCCAGGTGTTATTTTAAAATAAAACAATAAATAAAGGTAACAAGCAGAATTGGTAACTATCTCCTCTCTTTCTCTACCACTTGATTTTGTTCTCACCTGATTTCTTGTCTTTGATTGTGTATTTCTTCAGTCCCAAGATATAAACCTCTCTGCTGAATCTCAGTTACAGGAAAGAATCTCAGCAGGTTTATTCTTTAGTGATCTGACCTTTCCTCTGTCAACTTGTTTACTCAGAAACAGTTCTGCATCTTTGATTCGACTTGCAGTTTACTGAAAAGCAAGAAGCAAAACTTTTTAGGTTGCCTCTCTACTTCTGTGCTCTTTAATTTCTGTGGCAGAATAATAGTTTGGAAGAATAAAGGAAGGGGTTTTTTCTTGGTTTGTCTGTTGTTTTTTTCCCGGAGCACAGGGAAATTTTGTTGGCATTTTTTGTCTGTCTTGAAGTGCTGTTTGCCCTGATCCAATATTAATTGGATCAAATGGAGGTAACCAGCTGCTAATGCCTCAGCTCCAGTCACTTCTACATGGAGATAAAATACAGTAGTTAGTCCTAGCTCATCAGTCCTAGGCTTTTTTCCATTTTCCTGGCTGAGTTTCTTGAGGGTGATCTCAAAATACTTTTGCAAAGTCACCAATGTTGAGAGGAGCCAGCTGGGAGGGAAGTGTGTCTGTGGGCATGAGGAATGAGGGGAGCCTCTGTCAAAGCTCCCTCTCAGGAATAATATTTTCATCTAGGTCTCTTTTTCTCCTCAGCATGTTTTCCTATGTCCTCAGCGACCAAACTTGTCTTAGGTAAACTGCATCTACCTAACCTGCCTGCCTTTAGCACTTCATGTGTCATATGTGATTTCCTGTTGGTTTTGCTGGTCATGGACAACCATGTTTAATTTTTGGACTTGTGTAATCCTAATAAAAAGGTAAAGAGTAAACTCATGCATACAAGTAGATTTTTCAAAATCCATCATAACTTCCTTAGCTGAAGACTGCCCAAAGCTCAGAACGCACTGCTTTTATTACAACGTTTATTCTTGTCATGTATCACAACATGTCCTGTGAAACAATCCAGGATTTTCTTTCCCTCCTTCTGCTGGTTTTACTGATGAGAATTTTATTTTTCTAAATTATATAACATGGACTTAGAAGGTCTTTAAAGTTTGAAGTGTTTGCTTAAGCTAATTACCACTTTGGTAATCATTTGTAGCTGTTCCTAAGCTTCTCCTCCCTCAGATTTCCCTCTAAAAGAACCTCTCTGCTCAAGGCTTGGGAGGATGTTTGAGGACCTTTCCATTGCCTGCAAGTGCTGAGCTCTGAGGATACCCAGGGTAGAAAGGTGGGCTTCTCTACCAGCACACAGTGAAGACAGCTGGAAATAAGGAATTTTTTTCTGAATTTCAGATATTCCCTGCCCTATTGCTGTCCCTCTTAACAATTAGCATTATCTACAAATAACATGTCACATACTCATTAAAGCCCAGATACTTGAATTTGTTTGTATGACCAACTTCTTTAGGTTTCATTATGGAAAACTCTCAAAACTTTTGTGAAAAACACAAGTGACTTCTCAAAAATGTACACTCAGTTTGCACTCAGCTTCATTTTCCTGATAGCCATCTGCTCTGCTGCTGCACACTCTTGCATATAAAAAGTGGACAGGGAAACTAAAAGTGTATTTGCAGATTAGTTGCTTCTTTTTTGTTTCTATCATGAAGACACTGCCTAAGGGATTTCTTTCTGTTTTGCGTTTGGGGTTTTTTTCCCCAAGCATGTGGTGTGAGTCACCTGAAGCTGTGCAAATGAAAGATATGTGTATTTTTTTACTTACAACTTTTACTGTTGTGTATTGTTTCATTTTTCTTCATTATCAGAGGTGTTTGTGTGCTTAGTTCTGAGTTTATTTTTACCAAGATATGATTACTTTGTATGTAAGAAGTAGTAAATTATTTCAACATCCCTTCTTATCTGCAAAGACTCTTGTTCAAAGTGTACAAAGGATAAACGTTAGCAATGTTTAATACTCTTTAATGACACTAGTTTCAAGTGCCATTTGAAGCCATTAGTACTTGTTAGTTGTCTTTGGGACAATCCACGTGAAATTTTTAAGTGGTTTAGAATTTCTACATTTAATCAGGAATGCAATTAAATTGGTATTATTTAAAGAAATCTATGTAAATGAAATATACTCTATACTTCTTTCTCCTGAAAGAACTAAAACTGCAAATTTATTAGAATTTTTTGTAAGAATAGATGGAAATTTTGTGTAACTTGGAAAGACAATCATTTGAAAAGAATGCTGACCAAAAAGATCTAAGATATGTAACTAACCTTATTCTGACTGAGTTACAGATAGTGCTGGTACAGCCTGTATGCACCATCAGGCAGAAATTTCATCTGTTCGATATCTGTTTTTCTTGGTCATATGACTCAGAATAAGTTTTGTTTGAAACTATACTGCCCCTTTTGATGAAAATGCTTTTTGTGAATGTATTTGCTAGATGAGGCTGAAGCCTGAGTACTGAACTAATTTTTGCATGCCACAGAACTCTATTCAAAAAGATGTGGGAAAACTTGTATATTTGTAGGATTCAAAGGCCGTCTTTTTTTCCTGACAAATTATACTTGTTTGTTTTCAAGTTTTAATCTTTAATCAATTCTAGGAGTGCATTTTTTAACAGAGAGAAATCTTGTAGAGTTAGGGAAGTTGTTAATGGGTCTTTGAATGTTAAGGAACAATGTGTTCTTAAAGTAATCTGAAGAACACTGAGATAATGCTGTATAAGTAAAATGCGTATCCTCTGTTATTAAACAGCAAATTTGATTGAGGAAGGGATGAAAGTCCTAATTCTATTTTAGCAGCTTGCATAAGATTGCTGACCATGAAAGACAGCAGAGACCTTTTGATGCTAAACATGAAGAAATGAATAATGTTGGTAAACAGTAATAAATAAAGTGAAGAGGCTAGAAAGCATATAATGATAGTGCTTTGAATATTACTCCATTTGGTTTCATAGAAGTTTTAGAAACTGCTTGGCAGTTTTATTAACTTTATAAATGGAGGAAAATGCTCAGACTAACAAAAATGCATCAACAGCTGGAATGTACATTTTTAATTGTGTAGGAGCTGTACAAAATCCTTTCAGCCTGTCTTGTACCTAGCATGCCAAGGAAGAAAGATGCCTGTTTGCTGATATCCTTCCTATTCTATATTTAGCATTGTAAACACCTCAGACTTTTATTTTTTTTTTCTACTAAACTTTTCCAAAAGAAGGCCAAACACTGCAAACAGCACAGCATTTTGGTAATTGAGTGCCCATTACATAATAAACTCAAAACCATGGTTTCTTTTCTGATTCAAAGATGTTGGTCTTTGGTTGACTACATGATTGCTGATAATGAACGTCATTAGAAAATTGATAACAATACTCACCTCTGTTAAATGTATTTGCTCAGCAGATGTGTATCTCTGAAAATGAAGTTAAATTCACGCTTCACTCAGAAATTGAAGGAAGTTATCTTTGGTATACTGTAGTCCTGAAAATTGAAGTGATAGCTGAATTAAGCTTCTCTGACAGGCATTTTTTATATTTAACACATGGAAATGCATTGCACATCTAGAAAGCCACTGGAATGTGTTGCTAATTATTGTTTAAAAAAGGATTCATCTATCATCCACATAGATGACATTTTGTTTAAGTGTGATGAATGCATATTTCTGTACAAAGTGGGGCATCCTGTTTCTATTGCATGCATCCTAACAATTGCTGTAGTGCTCTCTTCTAAGAACCGAGTTTTTTGCAGATAAATATTTTTGTGCTTAAGAAAGTCACAGGTACTTAATGCTCTAGTGATCCCCAAGAGAACCGAAGAGTGTGTTCCACAGTTCAGAATTGTGTCTAGAGGCAGCAGAAGGTCCTAACAAGCACATGGATGATTTCTTAGGTGGGGCTAGTGGCCACAGCAGGAGGATCTAAATTCTCCTACACTTTGCTGTGTTGGTATGCCTCTGACACACCAAAGGACTCTGTATGTTGATGAAGTGGAATGCCTTTGGAATTATTTTGCCTTCTGTGTGGCCATGGTGGCAGCTCCAGTATTAAATGTCTGGGATAACTTTGCCTCATGGAAACATTTGTTTAACTGTGTAACATGAGCTTTCCCATCAGCTAATCATCATCCTCAGAAGGAAAGGTCACATAACAGCAGGCCAGGTATTCCTCTCTTCACAGCAAGGAAAATTGTGGTGTAGATCTTGAAACAGCAGAATTTGTGATATCAACAAAAAAATGGAATGGAATTATCAGATTCTTTTCACCTTTAAACTGTTTGCAGTTCAGTTTATTGGTTATCTCTCAGTTAGCTTGCTCAAAAATAAAAAAAAAAAAACTGTGGGCAGATTATTTCTAGAGCTTTAATTTGTTTTCTAATTTCTTGGGCTGGGCTCTTAAAATATGATAATTTTGTGTGTATTTATTTATAAAGTATGATTTGTATTTTAAAGTGCATTAATGTGTTACTTTGCTTGTTAAAGCAATAATGCACTGACAATACCTAAAGTGCATGCCTCCACTTTTGAAGCACTCTCCCTGATTAACTTACCTGCCTTCATATTTAGAATAATCACACAATGTAATTTTTAGTAAAGAGAAGCTACAAGGAATGATGTAAAATCTATAATAAAATAATCTGGTATGGTGCTGATAATGTGTGTCAAATTATGGCATGATTTGGAAATGCAGAAAATTGTAAATTAGTAAAAAACAATTTGTTGTTTAAAAACAAGGACATGTTTTCAGTGTACATGGCTGTTTTGTTTGATCATGGGAAAAGAACAGAATATTTTAGGAAGATCAAACGAGCTCATATACAGGGTAGATTTTATAGTTCACCTAATGTCTGAGTCTTTTCTTCTAAAATTCCTCTGACACCTGCAACTTCAACTCTGGGGGTTTTCAGTTTATCAGAATTTTGTTCTATATAACAGTCAGTGAAGTGACTGCACAGTCCATTGTCATGTCACCAGTGGGAGAATCTGTCTGTGATACCACAACAGCCACCATACTGGAATACTTTGAAGGATGTACTTTTTAAAACATGCACTGAAGATTTTTCAGTAATAGTCAAGTTAACACATACATTAGAACCTGATCTTATGCGTTATTTCACATTTCACTTTGATATTGTTTGGAATATTAAACTTGAACAGTGTTACAGGCAATCCTCCCTGTGGCCAGATAACTGGCTACTCTGCACAGAGCAAATCAGTAGCTCGCACTCAAGAAGAATTTCTTTAAGTGTATGTGCATGTGTAGCTTAACCAGTACCAGGTAAAATTTAACAAACAAACAAAAAAAAACACAAACAAAAAAAAAAAACCAACCAACCCAAAAAAAGGGAATCAAGTCCCCTTTGGTTTGAATCAGTTGTTGTACATGCTGAGTAGTTTAGAAATTCCTTCACTTAATCATCAGTGAATGATATGATAATCTTCCAACATTCTAGCATGTTGTCTCCTGGGGCAAAAAACTATTTTTGAGTTTAAAGCAAATAATAGTAAAGCCAAGGATGTATTTTGGATACATTTCTGTTCCATTTGGCATTTTAAACAACAGACTCCTGATATGTGGCATTTGGCTCAGGTAAGGGAGGGGGATTCCTTTCGGAAGGGCAGAGGAGATATTCCCACACATAGTCTAAAAGCACCAGCAGAGCTGCCCTTCAGTGACCCTGCCATTTGTCCTGGCCTTTACATGTGCCTTCCTCAAAGCACAGGCATCATGACAGAGCCTCAGCTCATGCTGTTCTCTGGCTTGTCTTAAACCCTGCAAACACTTGTACACTTACCTGAATCTGGAGAGGAGCCTTGTGCGAGTTCTCAACGAGAATGTAGCGTGTGCCTTCTTCAGTTAGTGCTTCCCAGCTTTTCTCTGAACTGTTATTAAGGCTGGTATGGTGGCTGGAAAATAAGAATGTAAGAGTTTGCTGCTACCTGCTTGTTTGTTTTACCCCTACTACGTTCTTCAGCTATCAGTCCATATAGTCTGTTGATAAGAGAAATTGCCAGTTGAGCAACATCACCACCATATTTGTTTATACTCTTCTTTGAACTCTGGTTTCTTCATATTTCACTACAATTAATACTGTAATCATTATGTGTGTCAATCTCTTTCCTTACCAATGGAAATTAAAGGGCCAAAAGCAACTCTGCCTTTTTTTTTTAAAGTGGTATGCAGCTGAACCAGGTGCAAGGCTAAAACTTCCAAGCTGAACCCTTAACATCTGCATTTCAAACCAATATTGCTTTATCTCTGTTTCACTTTGCACAGACCTGCTCCTTCAAAATTGCTGTTATCCTGTGTTTCAAGTACATGATCAGATCATCCCAAAATCATGGTTGTCTCTCCTACAGACATAGTCTGTGTACTTCCTAGAGAGCAATATATTATTGCTCTTTCCAAGTTTTTCTTAATTGTGGGAGAGGATGATGGTATGGTGAAAAGTGTGACAGAAGTGGATTCATAAGTCTGAGGAAATACAATATTCTAGGACTCATTCTATAATAATTAAATTTTCTTAGGTTGCATGCTACAGGAAACTTGATTCCTTTCTGCATGTCCCATATTGGGTTTTGTCATTACATGTAGCTGTTTTTTTCTTTTTAAATTTGTGTGACATGTCTTAAACGGTATGTAAAATATGATATGGAGATTGTATCAATGGCATTTCCAAACATAGCATTTCTGGTTTCCTTTCCCATCTTTGATGTCAGGGTTTGACAATTGCCCTTTAATTGTGTGCCTACATGCTGCACTTGGAAGACCAGCTCATATGCCATATTCTATCTTGAAAGCTATATTATTTTTCTTTTGACATTTTTTATCTTTTTTTTTAAATTCTCAAATGATTTTGTGTTTTCATGCTGATTTTCGGTTACTGTTGTTTTTTGTACTAAGAGAAACAAGTCCACTCATGTTCAGTACATAGCGGAGGTTAGTTTGTTTCTGTAGTTTTCCAGGTTTCCTGTTGCTCACGAGGTGTTCACAGTCATGCTGCACTTTACAGACAGTATGCTCTGGTCTAGCATTATACTCTATAAAAATTTGTAATCAAAAGGGCCTCAGATGATTTAACAAGCAACATGGAATGTGGTTGCTAACTATAGCTAGTATGGAAGCAGAGCTGATTTAGGCCCTGCTCTTAGGTCATAAGGCATAAATCTACTGGTGCTAAGATGGTAATGTGGAGACAACTGTTAGTTATCTGAGCCTGCAGAAGTCTAAATTAGGTTAGGGCTGTGGTCTTCACATGTAACAAAAACTGCCATGCCTAAGGAGAGCACAGAGAGACATAAAATCAGCTGTCTGTCAAAAGTGAATTCACAGATGCATCTCAAGAGGATGGGCAGCATATTTGTAACATTCTGTTACAAATGGTAACATTTGGTATGATGGTTTCCTTGTTCTAAAACAATGGGATTGTTGTCTTTTGCTTGGAAAGGCTAAGATGCGGGAATAGTGTTTCTCCTTGGAAGAAAAAAATAATTCCTGTTAAAAATTCTAAGGCTATGAAAGCTAATGAGGATAAGTGTGACTGGATTTTGTGGTGCAGAATTATGACAAGAAATATTCTTGCAGTCTGTGGTTGAAGAGGCTACATATGATTTTTACTTCTACAGGTGTCTATAATAAGCCTTATTCATTATATTTCTCCACCACTGTCTCTGGATTTAACTTAAAGAATCCAAAATCTAGCACTGACTTTAGTAATGATTTGCAATCAGTTCAGACATCTTAAATATGTTTCTAAAACAGACTAGAATGTTCTATTGATGTGTTAATGAAGCTCTTAATTATGTCATGGTGCACTATGACAATATTGTATGATGCGACATCTTCCCCAAACTGTTCATAAGAAGTTATGTGTTTGAAAAAACGAGTAGGAGGGGTTGCAGATGGGTAGTTCATTGCCACTAAGATGGTAATAATGCAGTTCTTAAAATCAATCATATTTTTGTTTTGTGTGAAGAGATGCAGTTTCAGATTATTTGAATTTTGTAATGTAATTATGAAATGGGGGGTTTTGTTTATATTTATTTATTGGCTTTTTCATTCTCTCGCTGTAAGTTTGTCTGGAATTGAATAGATTTTCTTTTTTCTTTTTTATTTTTAAATTTTTAGAAGTGGAAGTTAGCAGTATTTCCTATAGAAATGTCCAGGCAACAAATTTAGCACCCTCCTGGTGAACAGCAGGGAAGAGAAAAGACTTCCTTGTGAGCATTTAATTTGCCTAAGAAGACTGTCTTTTCAATTGAAGAGAAATTATTATTATGAAAAACAAAAAGGCATTCAACCTTTTTGGTGATAAATTGGCTTCTTGCAGTCAGACAACACTTCTTCCAAAGACAAGGGCATGGATAAGCTATTTAAACTGAAAGGTGTAACAGACAAAGGGAATGTGAGGTTCTAATTGTGTGGTTGCCAAGCCAGTTTGTTGGGTTTTTTTTTTTGGTGGGGAGGTGGAGGGTGGTTTGAACTTGAGTAATTTGAAGTTGAATGATTCAGACAAAGGAAATGAAGGTGGTGAAGGGTCTGGGTCTGGACCCTTCACAACTCCAGCTCCCTCAGCTTCTTACACACTTACATTGTGTAAGGAAAAGCCCAGGGAGCTGAAGTTGTTTAGCCTGAAAAAGAGGAAGTTCCAGAGTGACTTTACCACTCTGCAAATCCCTGAAAGGAGGGTGTAGCCAGGTGGGATCAGTCTCTTCTCCATGGAAAGCAATGACAGGATGAGAGGGCACAGTCCTAAACTGTGCCAAGAGAGGTTTAGGTTGGGTATTGGGAAGAATTTACTCCTCCAAAGGCATTGGAAGGGGCTACCCAGGGAGGTGATAGTGTCACAGTCCTGGGGGGTGTTAAAGTGAAGGCTGGATGTGGTCCTGAGTGCCATGCTCTGATGTCACAGTTGTGTCACAGGTCATCGGTTGGACTCAATGATTTCAGAGGTCTTTTCCAAAGTACTAAATTCTTGGATTCTGTGATCTTAGGGAATACATTAGTGAGTTAAGCTGGAGTCGGAAGCTATTGATGCTATTGTTTCATGTGTGGTGGCAAAGATAGAAGTTCAGTGTCAGGAGTTTTTCACTGTTAAGTGATGTAACTGTGCCTTGGCAGTAGTATGGTACTTACTGGGGCATGAAGTCAGACAGGTTGAAGTGGTAACAGAGGATTGTGGTTTAAGTGTTCTGTTTGTGCTGGTCCTTACCTATGCTTTTATTTCTATTTTTTTAAAAATCCAAAGTTATTTCTGTCTGCACAGTTTAATGGTGGTAGCATTGGTGTGGAAAGACACAGCTGCCCTCTGAAGCTGTTTACAAACACTGCAGTCTCAGTAGCTGCTCTGTTCACTTCTAAAACTGATACATCCTAACAGGTGGTACAAACATTGGCTGTCCCAGGAGAAGAAAAAGAAATGTTCTGGTAAACAAGATAATAGTATAGCTGTATAGTACCTTTGATTCTGTAATTACATACTAAGGCTGTGAACTATAATTATTTAACCTACCTCCAGTTTACAATTTGACAACACTGCTATGTAAGCCTGGAGTTATAAGAGAGGATAATTTCAGGCTTCAAAGCTCCCAGCATAGATGTGTCCAAAAGTCCATTCTGCACTCTGAACTCTCTGTGGTTTTCAATTACTGCACACAAAGGTCATGATTTTCAACCCTATTGTTCTGCTCTCCACTAGCTTTTCCAGCCTCTGATTTATTACAGCAGAGAGTGAGATAAGAGCCAGTAAGTTAAAAAGTGTGTATGTTTTGGTGGGGGATGTGAGCAAAGGCTACAAATGCTTTTAGTAAAACAGAATGCTCTCCTGGTGGCTGCTTTTCTGAGGTTTATTAGTTCACCTACCTTCAAATGAGTCCTGCAGGTGCTTTGACAAATGGATTGAGAGATTGCCTAGTAAATTCCTCAGCCTCTTGTAAATTCTTCTGTGCCTTATGTAGATGATTTGTAGCTTCCTATGCCAAGGTGTCTTTGTAAATCACACCAGAGACCCCTGTGCCTTCCAAAAGCCACAGTGTGACTTGGATGAGGAAATGAATAAAAGCTGAAGAAAAATACTGACAAAAAAAAAGTGTTAATAGAAAATTAAGGTGTTGAAATTATAAATGTGTATTGAGGAAAGAGATTTCTTTTACCCTTGCTAGTTTCTCCCACTTATGCCAATATGTGCTGTTTGCTCATGGAGTTATAAGACCAGTTATCTCTTCTGCCAAGTGTCAAGGTCCTAATACAAATCTCCTCCTCAAAAGTCTCATTTCTGTTGAGAATTCTTCCTGAACTACTACTGATCACTGAAGTGATACATCAGACACTTGAGTTTGGATGATCCCAATGCTACCTCTGCCTTGAAAAATAAGTTTAAACTTGACATAGGTGCTTAAATAATTCACAACGCCTGTTGACATGATAATGTATTTGATCTCTCCCAATTGCTGGAGAAGGGATGACAGCTGTAAGTGTTTCTGATTAACAAAGTGGGGAAGATCATCTTTAGAAAAACTAAATAAACCATTACTTATACAATAATCAGTTTAATTTCACCCTGGATATACTTTGAAAACATCTAAGTTATCTTGTATACAGATCTGAGATAGGCAAGTCATATTTTTACAGAGGGAAGAAGTGGGGAACATAGCATAAAGTTCAGTGCTCAATTCAAGGAGTTGGAAATTCCAAGACTCAATTTCAGGAGCTGAGAATTCTGGAGTCCCTCATTTCAGTCCCTTCCTTATTTAAAAGCAGATTTTTGGTTTTGTGTAAGATCCTGCAGGTCAAAATTCAGGGCAGGAGATATTTAAAAGATGTGTGGATGTGGCACTTAGGGACATCATTTAGTGGTGGACTTGACAGTGCTGGGATAATGGTTGGTCTCAAGATGTTCAGAAG